GACTAAAAGCCACCTGAAATTTGTTTCTTGCAGCCCCTGGACAAGCCTGAAGCTTCCCTTGAGACCTCTGTGAGCCTCCTGATTTTTCTGCCCTTCCTCTGGTTCCACAAGCGAGCTGTCAGGTTCTAACTGAGGTCCAAGGTCTCATAAGCTAGCTGTCAGGTTCTAACTGAAGTCTAAGGGGAATCAGCTGGCGAGTGGTGGGTAGCTGGAAAAACACTCAAGGAATCATCGACAGTTTCAACATGGCTTTGTTTTCTCTTTGGGCATGAGTGAGCCATATGTACAGCATCAGCAGGGTAATTATATATTTTGCAGATAGCAGTGGCTCCGAGCCCAGCAGGAGCTCACATGGGTGATCGCCTAATGTGCCTCATGTGGTGTGGTTACAGAATATGTGGAGTTGTGCACCTGCACTCCAAACCTGCTGAATCATGCTGCACTGGAAGGCTGCCTAAGCCTACTCCTGACTAAAGCACAGCCATTTCCCTTACACTCCACCCCCCAGGCCTAGGGCATCCTCCAGCAGGGACATGTGTCCATAGGGAAGATCCCTGAATCCATAACTGACAACAATACAGACAGCAATGCCTTACCATTAGGATTCCAGCTATGCTACTTATGACTATCAGGGCCCAGCATAGGCCAGAGCCTAGGGATGCCCACCATTTCTGCAGGGAAGCATCAGTAAGGCTCTCGACCACCTTAATCTGCCATAAGACCCCTTGCCGGACTGCTTTTATGTTCTACCAATCGTCAGGGATAAAGGTACAATATTGTGTGCCTAAAAGGGTGCCAAATCTGTCCTGCAAACTCTGGCCAAGCAATGGATGAAAGGAGTATGCAGACACAGGTATTTTTGCCTGTGAGTGCAGCTAGGGGACCCCACAGTTTAGCCTGCCAATGAGGAAGTGCGGCCCTGATAAGCCAGAGACATTCACGTTTATTTAGTACAGATTTAATGACAAAAACTTGGAGCAAACACAACTTATGGGTAATTAACTTTGTCAGACGTCCCCCCCAAGTAGGGGGCAGTCCTGTGTGCAAATGATCAAAGGTTGGTTTCCAGAGAAATAGGTAAACAAACATCTAGATAAATTCCTTGTACTCCCTTGTGATCTGCACTTTGCCATTTGCCTCAGGGTAAGAACAGCTGCCTTCAGCTCATTCTTCCCCAAAGCTTTGCAAAACCTCCTGGCCTTCTAAGAAGGTTTGCGTCTCTCCTGTAATTTTTCCTATCACCCTGACCGATCGCCTGCAAAAGAGCACAGGTGCCTCCTTGGGCAGCATTTCCTATGTCTGAGGCCATTCAGTTTTGTAATACCACATTTCTGATCTGATCAACCTCATCTGTTAACAGAAGGAGGACCACTAGAGTGTAATTCAGAGCCCAGGTGGTGTGCTTCATAAGAGCAGTAACTTGTGCTTCTGCAGTTATGACACCTGCTCCAGGGATAGTCATTTCCAAGAGGTAAAACCACCAGGGGGCTCATCACACTTGCACAAACCGAGAGCATAGCACCTCCCAGTTATGCGGGCCATCTGGGCAACGTAGGGAGAACAGTGGCAGGTACATAAGGCCACCCCCAGGTACAACATCCAGTCCAGTTTGCTGGTAGTTAAGGCCACCCTTGTCTCCAAAGACCCATCAAATCCCAGGGGGGCACAAAATCTATTGGGGCCCAACCTTGGGGCCGCTTGTTTCACCATACCACCATACCCTAAGTGTGGTGACATGTGTTGTTTGCACAGGCCATGACAGGTACCCATTTCACGGGAGTGTTGCTCCAGTGTTGCTCTATGCACCACAGTACCTGAGCTTTGGGTACTACACATTCCCCCACTAGCCAGCCCCATTCATCATAAACACAAAAGGTCTGCCAGGCGGCAGATGTGCTGTGCGTCTTACGGTGTCCTTTGTCCAACGCTTGACATGTTGCATTACAGGTATCAGCCAAGGGACCCCAGGTCTCCAGCCATGTCCAATTCTCTGCAGATGCTGAATGTGTGTGCCAAGGCATGCCATCTGCAGCTGCTGCTGGAAGGGCAGTGCAGATCCAGCAGATGGAAACATCGGTCACCTCAGCATAGGTGTGGGCCCAGTCCACAATGTAGTTGGAGCATGTTAACCTATGGTTGAAATAATAGAGCAGGCACAGGTACTAAGAGAGGTAAATCACATTCCTCCACAAAACATAGGCTAACCTTTCATCCCTGGATAATAATGCAGCCACCAAGGGCATTTGCTCTGGGCGATGGTACCATCCTTTCTCAGCTCCCTGTGGTTCCTTTGAGTCCTGTATCCATGCCAAAGTCATGGGAGAGCTCCTGATAGGCCCCATAGACAGTACATATGTCCCCTGGAGGAGGGTTTCTTCCCTGGCTGTTCCCCTATGAACATTCAACCGTGGGGGCCATGTATTGAACACCCAAGGAGTGACATGTGAGTCATATTGTAGGCCCTCCCCACAGGGAGCCACGATGGCCAACCACCCACAGTGAGGGACCTGGAGGGTCCATGGCCACAGCCAGGTTTTCTATTCCCCTGTTTTCAGGGGTGTTGGGGCTGCCAACAACAGGTTACCTTTCATCCCCATACCTGATCGGAGGAGGTCATTCTTGGTATGTATCCACAACTGAATGGGTGTGCCAGCCTAGTGTAACAAAGCCTCCACTGAGGCTGGACCACCTTTCCATAGCTGTCCATTCAAGGTTTGAAGCACCAGGTCCAGCCTGGAACTCTAGCCCCACAAAGATGGGGGTGTGACATGCAAGCATAACCCATTCTTCAACAGCCTGTTACATTGCTCAATCATACCTGCAGCTTGTGGGCTGTGTGGCACATGGAATCCCCACTTTACGTTCATTTGTGTTGCTCATTGTTGTACCTGTTGTCCAGTGAAATGTGTTCCTCTGTCACTCTCAATGGACAAAGGGCAACCATACAGGGAGCATAAGTGTTTCAGGGCCCTGATGGTGTGCTATTGGTCGGCCACCCTGCCAGGGTAGGCAAACAGCAGGCCTGTGGCCTTGTCCATAGCTGTTAATGCATGGGTATACTCTTGTGACTTCAGCAGCAGCCTGATGTAGTCTACTTGCGACCTGGTCACAGGCACTGCAACCTCTACCTTCTGGGTTCAAGTGATTCTCCTATCTCAGCCTCCCAAGTAGCTGGGACTACAGGCCTATGCCACCATACCCAGCTAATTTTGTATTTTTAGTAGAGAAGGGGTTTCACCATGTTGACCAGGCAGGTCTCGAACCCCTGACCTCAGGTGATCCACCCGCCTCAGCCTTCCAGAGTGCTGGGATTACAGATGTGAGCCACTGCACCTGGCCTGTTTCAAAAATGCTTGCAAGTTCCCTTACATTCCTACCTCCAAACAATTTCAGAATGCCATTTTCTAGTCACAAACTCCACCCTTCCATCTGTCACCAAAATCTAAGTATTTTGCAGAGTTAAGCATAATTCAACTCCTTATAAAATCTGCCCCATTTAACACTGGACATGCTAATCATATCCAATAATTTCTCCTGTCACCATTTGGTTTTTTACCTTCTAAAAGCTTTGCTTCTGTGATATATGCCTTTCTGTTGGAACTATAATTGCTGGAACATTGAATTTAATGTCCAGAAACACGAATAGATATTAGCAGATTAATCAGATACTCATTTAGGTTTATTATAAAGAATCAATTGATTCAACAACAAAATCTGAACACATCTCCTGTTAATGTACCTGTTTCCATGGTTCCTGCCCTAAGATTGTACCTGGAAAAAATAGACAAACAGAAGAACATGGGTTAGAACGGATTCAGTGCTACAGTTCCAACAAAGTGTGATGTGCATATGATAAATATTCAGAATGGGATTGTGAAAAAACACCTCTTCCAATTCCTTTTTATTTTTTCATTTTTTTTTCTGTACTAGTAGCATTTACTAAGTGCAGTTAATAGGAATAAAAAAATTAGTCAAATTAACCAAGACTTAATACCTTCTATCTGAATCATTTATTTGAATGACTGAGAGAATAAGTTTGGCAGATCACCCGAGGTCAGCAGTTTGAGACCAGCCTGACCAACATGAAGAAACCCAATTTCTACTAAAAATACAAGATTGGCTGGATGCGGTGGCGCATGACTGTAATCCCAGCTACGCGGGAGGCTGAGGCAGGAGAATGGCTTGAACCCAGGAGGCGGAGGTTGTGGTGAGCCGAGATGGTTCCATTGCACTATAGCCTGGGCAACAAGAGAGAAACTCTGTCTCAAAAAAAAAAAAAAATTTTAAACTTAAACACAATGGTGCACCTGCTGTGGAAAACAGTTTGGTGGTTTTTTATAGTATTAACCATAGAATTATCATATGATCCAGCAATTCTACTCCTAGGCCTATATCCCAAAGAATTAAAAGCAGGGGCCCAAACAGATGCCTGTTTGTATACCAATGCTCATAGCAACACAATAGCCAAAAGGTGGAAAGAACCCAACTGGCCATCAACATATTTCACATTTTGTTTGCATGGATAAACAAAATGTGATATACAGATGCAATGGAACTTCATTCATCCTTAAAAAGGAACAGGATTCTGATATTGCTACAACATGGATGGACCTCAAAAACACTATGCTAAGTGAAATAGGCCAGACACAAAGGAACAAATATTGTATGATTCCACTTATATGAGATACCTAGAGCAGTCAGATTCATGACTGCTGCCAGGTAAGTGCAACCACAGCTGCTTCATGAATCTGACGTAAGTAGAATCATGAACCCTCCAATCTAAAGGAAAATCAAAAGAAAATCTAATATAATTGTAAAAATTAATTAAGATATTACCACTTATAAAAGGATCTACTTTGCTGAGGGATTTATCCAAGCATCCCTTTAAACAGAGAGCTGCTTCCCTAGTAAACTGAATTGTTCACTAACGGATTGTTAACAGCCCAACAAAAGCTGTTGAGAGCAGAAATCAGATTTAACCTGTAAATTAACTCTGACAAAGTTATGTAATAATTTTACTAATATCTTATTGAGAGAGTCATGGAGGTTATGGGATTAGCTTGAAACCAGTTTCTGGGCTAATTGGAAGCAGGTACAATGAAGCTCTAGAGAAGCAGCTCAGGAAGCTGGGAGACTGTCCAGAACACTATCTTGGGCAGAAGTCAGCCCACCTTCACTTCTGTTCTTTTACAGGAGGCGCTAGCCCCTCTCAAGCCTCACATGAGAATCCAACACAGCTGAGGTGAGCTGGGCTGTGGCAGTGAGAGAACACAGCTGCCCTCCAAGCTGACCACCCAAGTTTTCATTTTAATAGTCAGCTACCTTTTCCAGTAATCAGTAAACCCTTTGAGGTCAAGGATCAAGTTTTCTTTGTAGCATGCTGCCTTGTATTTCACACATGCTAAGTGAATAATATTATTTTATAAAAAATGAATGAATGAATGACTAATAAAAATGGCAATGGAAGGTCCAACAAAATGGTTATAAATCAGCTCCGAATTTAATATTTATGAGATCTTGAGTCTTAAAAGTTCAAATGACACACATGATTCTACAGAAACACTCCTCAAAGCATAAAGTGAGAAAAAATTGTGTTTATTCTGTCTTCTGCTACCAAAGGGACATATTTTCTATTGCTTTTGTAACTCTGCCTTGTACCCAAATGCACCACATTCATAATAAGTAGTGTTGACAGAATGAATGACAAGGCAAAAAATAGCTCTCAGTACTTTTCATTTTTTACAAGTATGGAAAGCATATTAAACCATTTGCTGATTAAAAATATGCGTGTTTTGACTTGAATATGAATCAAATTAACATATATAAATCCAACATCTTCACATCACTAGATTCACAGCCATAGCCAATATAATTTTCCATGTTTCTTCAAATTCATCAATTCCAGAGTGACATAATTATTAGGCATAAAATACACAGTAATGATTTATAACTGAAAACTAACTTTTGTTTTAATTCAATGATCATTTATCCTCTAAAAGTAAAAAAGGTGCAAGATCATTGAAAATCTAAGTTTTGTTTTTGTTTTTGTTTTGTTTTTTTTAAAATAAAATAGAAATGGGATTTTACTGTGTTGGCCAGGCTGGTCTCATTGAACTCCTGACCCCAAGTGTTCCTCCCTCCTGGGCCTCCCGAAGTGCTGAAATTACAGTCGTGAGCCACTATGCCTGGCCAAAAATCTAAGATCTTATGTTGAATTTAGCTCTACACTTACTACCACTAAGGGAAACTAAAGTTTGAGGTATGGAAAAAGAACTCTTATCCCTCAGTAAGGTTAATTAGTATAAATGAAAGTACTATGTTGAATCCTAGCGCCTGGCTGAGTTACATAGCCCCAGAAATGTACAAGCTTCCTAGTTGCAGTTTCCATAACTTCACCTCCTACCTGCCCCTTTACTCCAGGCTGGTCCATCCCCATGTTCTTTTCTCCAAGACTCTGGTTTAGGGCAGGGAAGACTCTCTGGGAACCAGATACTCTGTACACTGCTACACTAACGGACCAGGCAACGGCCCTGGGAAAAAGAACACATCCAAGCTGCAAACCTGGGTCAGACTACACCAGGTCTGGGCCAAGCCAATTAAGAGGGCGCAGGTGCTGTTATCAGAAGACCCCCTGTTCCTTCCACTTAGCTCTGCAGTCCCTTAGGATTCACTGCCACCTGCAGCACCTCTCTAGGATCAGGAAAGTAGTCTGAGTAGAATCTCTAGCACCCAGCCTCCCCTTACATCCTGCTATTGATATACATCTGATGCTACAAATCTGGCACCATATAAATGCCCAGCACTTTGGTCACTGAGTCCTTCCAGAGCTGCTGGCACTGAGCCTGTGAGAGCAATAAGCGTCTTTCTAGCAGAATGCTTTCTAACCTTGTGTTGTGATATGAATTCTCCAGGGCTGTTGATATAAATGTAGATCCCAGGACCTTACTCTGAGCATTCATATTTATAGTGGGTCTATTTGGGATCCAGGAATCTGAATGTTTAACAAGTGCCCAGGTAATACTCTTCCCCTGGGAATATTGGAAAATACTGTGTTCAAGCACTCTTTAAAGTGCTCACCTAGCCTCTTGGTGAAGGGAGTTGCTGTTTGTGGATTTAAACCTTGTCCTCTATGGAGATGATAAAAGGGAAAATGCTGGGAAGTCTATGTAAATCTAAGGCATGTACCATTACCATGATCATATACCTTTAGCCACAGCCACCGGGAAACTATGCACAGCCTGGGTGAGCTTCTTTTCAATACACAGGGCTAAGTGACTGCGAGCCTAGAAGATGGAGTAGGACAAGGAGTAGCCAAAGGCAGTGGAGAGAGGCAGGCGGGGCAAAGCCTGGAATCTGGAGGTCAATACACATGTATTTCAATCCACAATTGCTTTGGCTACTGACATAAATCAAAGGAAAAAGGAGGGAGATGCAGGGAGAAAATGTAAACAGCCAGGTAAGTGCAGTCTTCTGTTAAATATGAATTTTCAGATATTAAAGAATGAATATCTTAACAGAGTTATTCGTTTATTGAACTTCCAATTTTATTTTTTAGTACTGCTATGTGAATGAATCTGAGTTAGATTCCTAAACTCAACCACGTGCCAAGAATGAAGGGCTACTCATGAGTTTTACTAATAGCCACTCGGGGAAAAGATTTCTATCCTGCCAATGTTGCTGCTGACTTACACCATGAATTACAGAGGGCTGTAGTTACAGCATGGTCCCCTCACATGGACGGATGAAGAAAATTTGCAATGATACCAGAAATGAAAGAAATGAGTCTTGTTGCAGGGTGCTGGAAGATGATTTGGAGGTAATAATGACTCTCTTCTTGAGACCTGAACAAGAAGTTGTGAGCTAAACAGCAACCTGCAGAATCGTCTGGCATTAATACAAGGAAAACCTTGCTCAATGTCTCCTTAAAAAAAAGATGAACACAGTCTTCTGTGATTGAAATATGTGCCTGCATAGTAACAAGGCAATGGACTAGCTTTCTACGATCCCACCTAGACCTGTGATTATACAGCGAAATATTAACAATGAATGCAACCTCAGCAAAGGCACACTGTTCAGGAGTATAGCATGTATGAGAAAAGAGGTTAAATCTCCTAAATGCCATTATTTAGGAAGAATCTTTCAAGTCTTTGAACAATTTTTTTCTCAAATATAAGAATTCAAAGTTAAGTATCCTCACGTCAGAAATTTATCTTAGCCTCTTTAGAAGTTGTGGTTCCTTCTATTGTGACAAACATTCCCAAAGAGTTACAGGCAGCCAGGAAAAAGCTTTGGGACAACTAGGGAGTATAGGAGATGTCAAAAGTATTTTAGGGCCAAATATGCCTCATAGTAGCCTCCCTTGACAGTCACATAAAATATGCAAAAAAGATACTTAACAGTTCTCATTTTCAATTATAATGCCTTAGGTCTCATTACTTTTTCCTCAGATCGGTATAAGGAAAAACGTTTTTCCATGCTCATCCTGCTGATAAAACTTCAGTCACTGACACGTTCCCTTTAAAACTAACAAGCCTTTTTATCTCCCTGCATTGGCCAGATAACGATTTTACAGGCCACTCAGAATTACCAGAGAGAGCTGAAACTGGAGCAGAGAGATAAATGAGATCCCTGTAGATAAACCACATAATTCAGGGCAGTCAGGAGTTGCAGCCTCTTCCCTCACTTAACCTTGTACCAAGGCTGCTGTGGGTAATTTGATTCCCTGCGTACCTTTCTCTGTCGGAATGGAGAGTGAATTTTAGGGAGATGTCAGACTGGCAGAGGGAGAGACAACACCCTGTGAAGGAAGGAAAACTGCATAAGGATTTAGGAGACTTAACCTAATTATGCCACCAAAGATCGATTATTTCACCACTCAAAAATCTCAATGTCCTTACCTGAAAGAGAGGAGGTTGCACTGAACCTATGAGAGAAAGATCCTGAGATCTGGAAGGACTCTCTGAAGTCCTTGCTTGGGGCAAGTGGGGGAGTAAGTGGGTTCTGGGCTGTGGTTCTCTCAGAATGGTTCTGCTTTGGTCTGTTTACGCATCGGGATTACATGTAAGATTTCATCTTCCGAAAGGTATCCGATGCTAAAGAAAGCTAAAACATGTTTCCTTCTAGCTCTACCACCCTCTGATTTTTTTTTTTTTTTACCGGTCTATGGGAAGAGGAGATGAATGCCTGCTAAAGCGACCAGAAGGCTCTCAGTAAAAAGTATTAACAAGGTATCAATTGAATCTGCAAAACAAAGAGGTGCTTGAAGGATATGAAAGAGGAAACCTGAAGGGAAACCCAGACGGCACATCGCTCTTCTGGGCTAGGTAAGAGGCTGTCTCACTCTTGCTTTCTCACAGCAAACTTTCTACCTTTTCCCCAGTGGTGCTCAACTCTGGCTGCCCAGCAGATCCCCTGTGGTGATATTAAATGATAGAGGGGTCTGGTCTTCTGCTTTGGGGATTCTGATTCAACAGTTGTGGTTTTTAAGATACAGAGGTGGTTTTGATGTGTAACTAGGATTGAGAATTTCTGCCTGGCTTCAGCTCTTCGATGTTTACTAAAATTGCTCTCTTAAAAGACATTAATTACCGGGCACGGAGGCGCATGCCTGTAATCCCAGCAGTCTGGAAGGCCGAAGAGGGCGGATGGATCACCTGAGGTCAGGAGTTCGAGACCAGCCTGACCAATATGGTGAAACCCCCGACTCTACTAAAATTGCAAAAATTAGCCAGACGTGGTGGCATGTACCTGTAGTCCCAGCTACTCAGGAGGCTGAGACAGGAGAATTGCTTGAACCCAGGAGGCGGCAGAGGTTGTAGTGAGCCGAGATCTGGACACTGCACTTAGCCTGGGCATCAGAGTGGGACTCTGTCTCAAAAAAAAAAAAAAAAAAGAAAGACATTAATGACACCCACAATATCAGTTATCATTTTGAGGTAGATGACTCCAAATCTCATCCTCTAAACAACCACCTTCTCTCTAGGTGTCTCATCATCTCTTTTTCCACCAGCCAGTCTTGCCTTCCAAGGTCCTCCTATGGGTAGTGGCCGAACCCTTCTTCCAGTGACTCAGGATCCCAGGGACTTGAAGGCATCCATGATTGCCATTCCCTGTGCCCCAGCATCCTAGCTGCACAAATGCAGTAAATCCGCCCTTGCGTCTGATCCTAAACTAGGTCCTTGCTTTTCATTCCTCCTGCCACTCTTCAAACCAGGCTCCCTTTATTACCTGATACATTGTTTACAGTCACATGATCAGGGTGTCATTCTCCCATCTTTACCCACTATGATCCATCCCAATCTGACTTGTTAGCCACTTACTTAAAACTGCATAGGCTGGGCGCGGTGCCTTATGCCTGTAATCCCAGCACTTTGGGAGGCCGAGGTGGGCAGATCACTTGGTCAACAGATCAAGACCATCCTGGCCAACATGGTGAAACCCTGTCTCTACTAAAAATACAAAAATTAGCTGGGCATGGTGGCACGCACCTGTGGTCCCAGCTACTCGGAAGGCTGAGGTGGAAGAATCACTTGAACCCAGGAGGCGGAGGTTTCAGTGAGCTGAAACCTCACTGATTGTGCCACTGCACTCCAGCCTGGTGACAGAGCAAGACTCCGTCTCAAAAAAAAAAACTGCAATGGCTCCCCGCTGCCTACCTTTTAAAAACAAACCCCTTCATCTATCTCTCAGGTTTCACAATAGGAACTCAAAGTTTCCAGCCGTATCTTTGATTACACAGCAGCATGGACACAGTCCACCATCTAAAGAGCATTATCCTTTCTTCCATAAACACGTCCTAGGCTTTCAGATCCTATGCCTTTGCCCTTACTCTTCTCCACCTGAAATGCCCTCCTCCTCGTTTTATGTCACCTCCTTCCCATTGGCTCTCCAGCTCTTTCCAAATGAATCTGAATGGCAGTAACATTGTGCTCGACTCTTCCGCAGCAGTCATAACGTCCTGTGTTGCAGCATGGTTATCTTCTGAAGTCTTGCTTCTTCAGAGCACTGCCCTGTGAGCCTTGTCACTGTATGAAAAGAGAGTGGGCTTTGGAGCCAGTGATCCCTGTGTTTAAATTCCAGCTCTACCAACAAACAGCCATTTAAACTGTTAAATTATTCGCACTGTTCAAATTATTTAGCCCTTTCCTGCCTTGGTTTCTCCATCTATAAAATGGGAATATTAATATCCAATTCCTAGAATTAAGATGAAGTCTGAGATAATGGATGTAAAGTGCCTCACACACACACAAAGGCTTTCAACAAATAGTAGCTCCCATTAACAAATGTCAAATGGAGGCTTGACAGGCTTTTATCTATATTGGAAGGTGACACAACACTAATCCAGCTTGATGGAACCATTTTCTGTAGATATTCACCACCTGCTCCTTCTTACCCATTAAGAAGATTACAGGGCTATTTTTACTTTTGAGACAAGACTCTGAAGCTGAGAAGTAATAGCTTCCTCCCTATTATCTGTCTGTTTACTGGGAATAATAAGAATTGGTAGTAATAGTGAAATGACAGGTAGACAAGAACAGGAAGAAAGAGCAGCAAGAAAACTCTGAATTAAAATATTTAGCACTTACTGAGAACTGGCTGGGTGCCCACAACTGGCTGGTTGTGGTGGCTCACACCTGTAATCCCACACTTTGGGACGTCAAGGCAGACAGATCACTTGAGCCTAGGAGTTCGAGACCAGCCTGGGCAGCATGATGAAACCCCATCTCTACAAAAAATGTAAAAATCCACAGACTTAAATGAAATATTGGTTGGCTGTTTGTTATTTTCTTCCCTTATTCCTTCCTGTCTCTGCTGTTAAGCACAATTATCGGCATAAAAGAGGATTTTAATACCTATTTTTAGATTGCATTCTAGCCTGGGCAATAGAGCAAGACTCCTGTTCTCTCTCCCCCTTTCTCTTTCTCTTTCTTTCTTTCAAAAAAAAAGTTCTGATAACCAAGAATGCCTGTTTTGTTTGTTTTGTTTGGCTAAAAAAAAAAAAATACAAAAATTAGCTGGGGGTGGTGGCATGCACCTGTAGTCCAAGCTACTCAGGAGGCTGAGGGGGGAAAATCATCTGAGCCTGGGGAGACTGAGGCAGCAGTGAGCTGTGATTGCACCCCTGCACTCCAGCCTGGCTGACAGAGTGAGACTTCGTCTCAAGAAAAGAAGAAGAAGCTGAAAACCATCCAAAATAAATATTATCAAGTTGCAAATGTAGTATATAAAAGAATAATCCACCATAGTCACCTAGTTAATTTCAGAGAGGTACAAGTTGTTAAATAACAGGAAGGCCATTAACATAATACATCCAATTATTATGTCAAATGCAAAAGAGTAGACTTGCTTCTATACATGCTTAGAACGTATTTGGTAAGAATCAACAACAATCCCTGATAATATTATTTAAGAGGAGAAATAGAGAAAATATTTACTCAATGTAAGAAAAAGTATTCGATTAAAACCAGTAGCCATCATTATATTTAATAGCAAAACATTAGTGAGATCTCCATTAAAATATGCACAAAAAAGAATATTGTTTAATATTATTCCGAAAGTTGTGATCAATGCAATAAGACATGATACAAAAGATGTACTATTAACAAAGAAGAGATAAAATGATACTTATTTTGTGACAGTTATTGTAAAACTATAATTCCAAATAAATCATTTGAAAATTGTTTAAACATAAGCGGATGAATGTAAGATAGGCAGAAATCAAAAGCACTCCAATATAATTGTAATAATCAGCTAGAAACTTTTAAATTTATTCATATTCATATGTACATATATAGTTTACCTTTTCTAAAAAAGATTTGAGATGATTAAAAAAAAATAAAGCCCATACATAGTAACAAGAAAAAATATATACAAATCTATAAGTAGCTTTAATGCATGTCTTTCAAATATTCAAAGAAAAGAACAAAATTATATTGAGATATATTTATTAAAGTTCAAGAAAATGGAAAAATACACTATGTTCCAGGGCAGAAAGATGTTGATATAAAATTTTCAAAATAATATAGGTTTAATCACGACATTTAACAAGTATTTATTGAACACCCACTATATACCAAGCAAAATGCCAGGTACTAGGGTTACAGTCATGAACGACACAAAGGCTCTGCCCTCCTCGTGCTTAGATTCTCGTGGAGTTGGCACAACAAACAAATAAAGCCTTAATATAATATAGTGTCAGGTAATGATGTCTGCATCGAATAAAACTAAAATAGGGTTAATCAAAATAACAATGAGATACCATCTCACACCAGTTAGGATGGTGATCATTAAAAAGTCAGGAGACAACAGACTCTGGAGAGGATATTGAGAAATAGGAATGCTTTTACACTGTTGGTGAGAGTTCAACCACTGTGGAAGACAGTGTGGCTATTCCTCAAGTATCTAGAACTAGAAGTACCGTTTGGCCCAGTAATCCTATCACTGAGTATATACTCAAGGGAGTGTAAATCATTCTATTATAAAGACACAAGCACATGTATGTTTGTTGTGGCACTGTTCACAATAGCAAACACTTGGAACCAACCCAAATGCCTGTCAATGATAGACTGGATAAAGAAAATGTGGCACATATACACCATGGAACACTATGCAGCCATAAAAACGGATGAGTTCATGTTCTTTGCAGGGACATGGATGAAGCTGGAAACCATCATTCTCAGCAAACTAACACAAGAACAGAAAGCTAAACACCGCATGTTCTCACTCACAAGTGGGAGTTCAACAGTGAGAACACGTGGACACAGGGAGAGGAAGATCACACACTGGGGCCTGTCAGCGGGTGGAGGGCAAGGTGAGGAATAGCATTAGGAGAAATACCTAATGTAGATGTCGGGTTGATGGGTGCGGTAAACCACCATGGCACATGTATCTCTATGTCACAAGCCCGTACATTCTGCACATGTACCCCAGAACGTAAAGTATAATTAAAAAAAATACAAATAAAATAGAGAATGATAGAAGGGGAATGCGGTCAGGGAAGGTCATTGAGGGAGTAACATTGGAACAGACACTTAAATAAAGTGTAGGAGAGGGCCATGTGGCTATCTGGGAGAGCAGTATTTCTTGCAGAGGGAACAACAAATGCAAAGACCCCAACATGCTACCAGCTTGATGTAGTCCAGAAACTGCAAGCAATGCAGTGTTGCTGAGGCAGAGTGAGTACGGTGCGGACCTGTGGAAGATGAAGATGGAGGTAACGTGAGGGCAGACTGTGCAGGCCCTGGTAGAACAGGACTTTGGGGCCTAAGTCCTGTGGTGCCTATTTTGACTAGGTGAGGATGTGATCTAATATGGTTTTTTTAAAGACCTGTTTGGTCTTGGTGCTGAGAATAGACAAGGTAGGGGTGAGGGGAAAATAGAGCAGTAAGAACAGTTAAGAGGCTATTTCAGTAATTCAATCTGGAAAAGACAGGCTTGTACTTGTGTGGTAAGGGTAGAAAGAATCAGAAGTAGATTTCAGATATATCTTGGAGATAGACATAAAGTATTTGCTTATGGGTTGTGTATGAAGGGTGAGACCAAGAGAGGAATCCACGTTGGTCCCCCGGTTTTTGTCCTGAAGCTACGGGTTGGATCACGGTGCTAATTACTTCACTGGGGAAGACTGGGAAAGGAACAAGAGCTGGTGAATGAAACCAGGAGTCTTAAGACATGTTAAGTGTGAAATGTCTATTAGACTCCAAGTGAAGATGTTGAGTAGGCAATTGCCAGAAGAGCATGAAACTCACAGAAACATGTTGGGCCATCAGCAGGTAGATGGAATGTACAGCCAGAGGATTGCATGAGGTCATCCACGGAGAGAACGCAGAGAGACTCCTGGGGCTCACCAACACAAAGAATTTGGGACAAGAAAGAAGATCCAGCAAAGAAGACTGAAAGAAGGCAGCTAACAAAATAGGAGAGAACCTGGAGAGTTTAGAGTCCTAGAGGCCAAGAAGGTGGTTTACTATAATCCCTATCGAAGCATGCGTGGTTTATTTTTATTAACTGACAAATGCTTCTAAAACATACCTGAAAAGTATAATTAATGCACACCTAGGATAATGGATCATTCTGCCACATCATTCCTTTTTCACAACTGATACGGACATGATATTTTCATGACTTTGTAAAATAAAAATGAAATCTTTCTAATTTTTTTTAAAACAGCTGCTTGCTTATGTAAACCTTCTGTCTCTCGCTGTATAACCCCTCCAATTTTATATGGGCACATGTTTCTGTCACTTTTTGGAGCCCTTGTAGCACATTAATAAAATGTAGCACCTGCTTGAAGAAAAATTTGTCTAGGACATTTTGTTTTGGAGACTCGTAAAGTGACGCTATTTTACATAAGAATCTATTATGCCATAGGAAGCATGTTATAAACCCTTAAGCAGGGACCAATTATTCAATAAATGGTGATGACATGAATGTCTAGAAATATGAAAGCCTTGATTTCTCATTTCATTCCACACACCAAAGTGAATTCTAGATTGGTTAAAAATTTTAATGTTTAAAATTTTAACAGTAGAAACATTTGAAGGAAACATGGATATTTATTTATAAAGCTGCTATATGGGGAAAGTTTTCCTATACTAGAAATAACAGGAAAAAAATGTAAAGCAAAGACCAGCAGATCTATAAAAATGAAAAGTTCTATACACAAAAAACCATTAGGCAAATATTAAAATGGAAAAATATTTTCCATAAAATGTTGAAGTGAATATAGTTTCTACATAAAGAGCTCATGCAAACAGATATGAAAACCAGTAGGGCCCCTGTTGATAGTTGGAATATTATGAAGAGATCATTACCCAAAAGAGAAAATTCATCTAGTCAACTCATATGCAAGCATGTATCCTTGATAGTAACCAAAAAAACAAACAACACAAAAAAGCGATCATTTTTCACTAATACTGTTACTAAGTTTAGTTGTGTTTTTTGTTTTGTTTTTGTTTTGTTTTTGACACAGGGTCTCACTCTGTTGCTCAGGCTAGAGCTCAGTGGCACAATCATAGCTTACTGCATTCTTTGAATTTCTGGGTTCAAGAGATCTTCCCACCTCAGCCTCCGGAGTAGCTGAGACTACAGGCACACGCCATCACTGCTTGATAATTTAAAATAATCTTTTTGTAGAAATGGAGTTGGCTGTGTTGCCCAGGCTGGTCTTGAACTCCTGACCTAAGGGTCCTCCCACCTCAGCATCCCAAAGTGCTGGATTACAAGTGTTAGCTACTGCACCTAGCCCTAAAGATTTGCTTTTTAAAATAATAATATATATCCTTGGGAAAGGTTCAGCTAAGGGGACCCTCTTTTGTACTGATTATATAAATTTAGACAAGCAATTTGAATTTGTATCAAAATCCTTCAAAAAGAAAAAGTCTGTATTCAACAACGACTTGGCATCTTCACTTGTAGACTATCTTAAAGAAATATAAAGATTTTCATAAAAATAAATATACCATTATTTATAATTGACTCCAAATGGAAATAAAAGTTTTGCAGATACAGTGGACCTGAAATGGTTCAATTAAAAAACAGCCTTCCCTGTTGCACCCAGAAAATAATTCCTAACAATGTTACAAAGGAAGCTTCACTACATGCATTCTTCTGCCCATTGGGGATCTTTTTGTAGCCCTGACCCCAATCAGTAAGTTACTTTGTCCACCAAAAGAAGAATTTAGCTTCCATCCACATGATGTGGGCACAACCTAGAGGCTGCTGACCAGGGAACACAGAGAACCAGATTAAAAGGCTGGAAAACTACAGGGTCATGCAAATAGAAAGGGAAGCTTCCTCTGATAAACAAGCAGCAGTAGGCATTCTTGCAGAGTTTATTGAAGGAAAACAACATCTCCTTTGCAATAAAATTGATGTAGATTATTTTTTTGAGCAAACTCAAAAGACAGAATTTCTGCAGAGAAATTAGGGTAAAAAAATGAAAGAAAATGACATTCCTGAAAATACTGTTTTAGGACAAAGCTATTGAGGAAGATCATCAGCAGAACTTAGGTAAAGTCCAAAGCAGGGGAACTGGGCACAGACTGCATGAACCATGTTCATTTAGCCATACTTCCATGCATGCATTCATTTATTCGCTCTTTCATTCTTTCAGTAATTTCTGTGTTGACTTAGCAAATATTTATTGAGCAGCAAATATATACTAGGCACTAAGCAAATATTGGGGGTTAAATTACCTTAGTGAAAAAGACAAGAAGAGTATGTTTTCATGGATTGTGTAATAGTGACAAAGCTAGGCATTAAAACAATAATAAAACATTATTTAAGTTCAAATTGATAAGTACTAACAACAAAGAAATTCTGAAATCTGTTGGAGTGAGTGACAGGAGAACCTAACCTAACTCAGGGGATTAGAGAATTCATTTTGGGGTTTCTATGAGATTTGAAATTTTTAATGAAATTTTAAAGGTGAAAGAGATTTATCTAGGGTAATCATTTTTACGAATTCCTTATTGGGGACAGAATGGAAACTTAACTATTTGTGGTTTACTGAATATACAATATACGTTTTTTTATAGAGTTAAATATTAGCTATATAGGTCTTATACCATTGTATGAATTCCAGCAAACATATTTTATTATTTCTATAAAGACCTAAATTATGTTTTTGAATAGATAGGTTGAGAGGAAGCTTCCCATCTATTTAGTCAAGAGTATGGTATTTAACAACATTTTCTTCTGTCTAGTTATTCTAACCAATACCAAACCATAACCATTCAGTATAGGCACTTCAAGATAATACATCAATTCAAAACAAGTATTCATTGAGTATGTGTTGTGTGATAAGCTGTGTTTTGCAGCTGAGATAACAGTGGTGAGGAAAACAGACAAGGTCCCTGACTTTCTGGAATTTACATCTTAAAATGAACTTAAATTACTTGTTTCTAATGTTCTAATTGACATTCCCAATAGCAATGGGAATGTTCACCTTACTGCACGTTGTATTCTCATCAATACTGAGTACTATCATTACTTGCTTTTGTAGAAGGAAAGTACAAAAAAAGTAAGGCATTGTTATGGGCTGAATTATGTCACACGTAAAAAGATGTTGAAGTCTTAATCCCCACTACTCAGAAATGTGATCTTATTTGAAAACAGGGCTTAGGCAGATGTAGACAAGAGAAGATGAAATCATTAAAGTGGACCCGACTCCAATGTGACTGTTATCCTTAGAAAAATGGGAAATTTAGACATAGAGAGTCACACACAGGAAGAACACTGTGTGAAGAGAAGGCAGAGATTGGGGGCATGCAACTATAAGCCAAGCAATACTGATTGCCAGCAACCTCCAGAAGCTAGGAGAGAGGCACCGAACAGATTCTCCCACACATCCTCAGAAGGAACCGGCCCTGCCAACACCTTGATCTCCGACTTCCAGCCTTCAGACTGAGACAATACACTTCTCTTGGTTAAGCCACCCAGTTTGTGGTACATTGTTACGCTAGCCCTATCAAACTAATACAGGTATGTTTCTTTATTTGGATTCCACTGGAAGCAGAGATTGACAAGACTTGGGTGGTAATTGATGTTTGACACGTGCTCAGGATATAAATTTCACTTTCAAAACTATCATGGTATTTATTTGTTTGTTTTCTCTTATTTTCCCCGTGGGTTTAGACATAAAAAATAACCAAGCAGACAGTGGCATGTTTGTAATCCCAGTACTTTGAGAGGCCAAGGTGAGAGGATTGCTTGAGGTCAGGAGTTTGAGGCCAACCTGGGCAACATAGTGAGACCCCTTCTGTACAAAAAAATTAAACAAAATTAGCCAGCCATGGTGGCATGTGCCTGTAGTCCTGCCTACACTGGAGGCTAAGGCAGGGGAATCTTGCAAGTCCAAGAGTTCAAGGCCATAGTGAGCTAGGATCTTGCAATTGCATTCCAGCCTGGGTGGCAGAGAGAGATCTTGTCTTTAATTTAAAACAAAAAAAGAAGCAAACCAGAGACTGCCAATGGGCAATAAAGGCTTTTATTATGAATTGACAAATTTGGGTAATCAGTCATTAGAATTGGATAGGAAGAGTAGATCGAGCTTTTGTGGGACTTGAAGTTTATTTAATCTTCTATTTAAGAAAAAGAGTATAAAATTATAAATATAAAATTAGTTATAAAAGCAAATATTTAGAAAAGAGATTAAAAAATAAATTACAAACATTAGAAAGATGATAAATGCTATGAATACCCATACATCTAGAACTCTATTTTTGTTTTTTAATTCTCTGACAGCTTTTTATAATTTATTTTTCTACATATTTGGCTGCATATTATTATTATCATTATTATTATTTTTTGAGACGGAGTTTTGCTCTTGTTGCCCAGGCTGGACTGCAATGGGGTGACCTCGCCTCACTGCAACCTCTGCCTCCCAGGTTCAAGCAATTCTCCTGCCTCAGCCTCCCAAGTAGCTGAGATTACAGGTGCTTGCCACCATGCCCGGCTAATTTTTGTATTTTTAGTAGAGATGGGATTTCACCATATTGGGAAGGCTGGTCTTGAACTCCTGACCTCAGGTGATCCACCCACCTCGGCCTCCCAAAGTGCTGGGATATCAGTGGCTGCATATTATTTGATTACCTCGTTATATAACACCAATTTTATAACATGGGTTTCTATAGATAGAACATAGTCTTCCTCTAGCATGGTTGGTCTAAATTTGTGTTTGAGTAGTGATAGATGGGATGCATAAAACACGCAACCTCACACATAGATGTGTTCATGCCACAGGATAATGCATCAGAAACCCAAGAATTCTGATAAAATCCACTTTAGATGACTTTCATGAAAATGTATTTTAGGTTTATAATTATGTATAATGTATTATCAAGTATGTTCCTGAACAGGAGAGAATTTCTGTCTTGATGGGGCATTGATGAGAATCGAATCCTTTGTTTACAATTTTACATGTCAGATATTCAAAGGAATTTTCCACAGAATTGCTTCTGGCTCCACACATTACAGACCCTGCTTCTCTCTCTCCCCACATACTCCTACTACAGGACAGTAGGTTATATGTATATATCCTGATATGGCCTCTAGCCCTAGTCCTTCAACATGATGCCTGGTATGTTGGCTCAAGTGCAGGAGAAGAATCTGGAAGCCATTTCTATGCCAGATCAGTCAGTAATAGCTTAACTATGTAAA